ATTTTAATGGAAAAGCGAATTAACTATTCTGTTCGATCAAATAAAGAACGGGTTGCAAACTTGAAAATATACGTCACAGAAAAAACATTCAATCGGTGCGCGTTTCTCGTACATCCGTGTGTACAATTGCGCGATGGGCACTCAACTCTCAACACGCGAGAAGTAAAAAAAATTAGCTATACCAAATCGAATCTCTCGCCCGACACCGGACACATCTTTATTCTATGTTTGACCTAGGCACCGAAATTAGGCTGTCTAGACAGTTCGCCCTTCATATTGCTATGTCATCGTATGTCGTTAACTAAAAGTGATTGACATATGCTTCCGAAATATTATGTAATGAACCGTGAGGATTCATTTTGAGGTCAAAAAGTGTTTATGATTATGTAAAATTCATCATCATTATCATCATCAACAGCTTATAAGTGGCTACAGCTGACCAAAGGCCTCTTTTCACACGAAGAAGGTTTGAGCATTAATCGCCGCGCTTGTTTAAGCTGGGTTGGCGATTTCAAACATATAATTGGATACTTGCCTTAATCAAAAATATATTATTTCGACTGTTCAATACAATAAAATAATAAAAAATAATCACACTTTTATTAAGTGATTGATTTTGTTAATAATTTAATTATACTATTTTTCCAGCAAATTTTTAATAAGTACGCTGTATGACGATAAAAACCGTGACGTCACAATACACAATCTCGTACAAAATTCATAGAAAACTGTTGTTTTTGACAGTTTGAAAAAAGCATTGAATTTGACTAGTTGGCAAGTACTCAATTAGAAATTATGAACCCAGGTTTCGATAATGTAACTCGATGTGTGATAAATCTACCAAAACGATCCCTATATTGATCACGTAGTTATTAAAAAAGGGAGAGGGGCTAGGCGAATATCATCAACAGCTTATAAATGCCCACTGCTGAGCAAAGCCTCTTCTTGCATGGGGAAGGTTAGAGCATTAATCACCACACTCGCTCAATGCGGGTAGGCGATTTCAAACTTATAATTAGAAATTATAAGCCCAGGTTTCCTCACGATGTTTTCCTTCACCGTTGGTCAGTGGTGTCTAAATAATATTAGAATTAGAAAGTACATATAACTCGTAAAAAGTCACATTGGTCCTTGCCGTTGGTAGGTTTCGAACCCACACCCTCGTGCATGAGAAGCAGGCATCTCCAACCTCCGGGCCACCACGACATGTCGAATATAATAACCCAATTAAACATGTTTTAACCGACCTTCTCCAACCAAGCCTAGCATTGCTACCTGTCTGAGTCAATCCTTACTTATACTTGGCAACTATATCTTTATTATTAATTATTTATTAATCAACGAATAAACATCGATACTCAGGTAAATCAACACAGAATCCACATCTGCCACTCACATCACCTACTCCAGATATTAGAAAATTGCACGATTATTCTCCGAATCGATACGGATTCAACTTTCTTCATAACCGGACGTGAATCGATTTGACACTGATCGCTATCCGACCAGCACTAATGACATTTCAAATCGACGCTACAAAAGAATTGTGAGAGATTCATTTTTAACTCTAATTCCTTGGTTATAAAGTTGTATTTTGTTTAAGCCGTGTTGTTGGTTTTCGTGTATATTTGACGGCTGGGGAATGCGTTTGGAGAAAATCTGAAAATAAAAATTGTATGGATTTCAACGTGTAATATTGATGATTTACTGTTTATGCGTGAGAACTGTATATTTCTGTTTTACACTACGTTTGCGTAGTAGTCTAATAAACATCTGTTATTCAATGTGTCTTGGTCATGATTCCCGCACAAATAGCTCTTATTATGATTCAGAAATTGTTGTCCATGATTCTGAGTTCAATATTATATAATTATAATGTGAATTTGTATATTAATAAACAAATCCATGATACAAGAAAACAAGGACATCCCAGTGTATTGTTTAAAAAACAGCCTACCTCTATTAGTCAAGTTGCAAAAATAGCTAAGACAAGTCGCAGCTTGACCACAAGTATAAAGTTTAATTTTACAAATCACATAATAAAATTCAGGAACTGTTTCCAAGTAAAATTACTAGTGATACTTACTTTTAATTCATATGGAAAACTGCTGCTGTTCGTATTTTCTGTTAAATGAACTAAAATTAGTTAAGATAAATATTCAAGCCTTCAAGGCTCCAGCATTATCTTTTTACGTGAGATAACAAAAATCTGACAGAATTATGTAAATCATTTTAAATGAAGTTTTATCACAGTTTTTATCTTGTCTCTCGAGTTTTGAGTGACTTCGTTTTATTTATAACCATTGTACTTCTTTAAAAGGGAAGTTGACAAGATTATTTTTGTTTGATACAGTATAATTCTACAAGATCCTAAAGTTAGGTCGTCTTTAAAATTTCTTTTTATCTGTGGCTAGTTTTAAGACGCCTCTGTGACATTTAGGAATGTAGTTTTTGCTTTGTATCCCGTTGAAAATCATCCCCGAAATTTGTTCATATAAAAGTAGTCTCTAAATATTGGAAATAAGGTCTATAATGTAGTTAGTGGAGAACGGATTGGGGATATATATGGGGTTATTTGTAGGTTACTAGACAATGACACAGTTTTGTGAGGTGATCCCAATACCAAAATGCGCACAATCCAGACTCTATAAATACTATAAAATCCTCCATAAGACTTTACTTGACCCAGAGACCGAACGTAAGATTACTCGTCTGATAAAAACACCAGCGACAGAGAACAAGTGTGGGAGAGCCATGCTTTGATACTGCTGTGCTGGCTTGACCGGAGTGATACACGGCCTCACAGAGAACCGACATGACAGGCTTGCGCTGTGTTTCATCGCGTGGCTGAGGTTACCGGAGGCTCAATTATCCTCTCCTTTCCCCAACCTCAGCAATCCCTGAATCCCCAACATTCCTCAAATTCCTAATCCACAAAGGGCAGGTAACACACTTGTAACGCCTTTGGTGTTCCTGGTGTCCATGGGCCACGCTGATTGCAGCTTTTCCTATATAACAAAGAATAAAATGTCTAATTTACAATGAATTTATACGTAACAACACAGTACGCTACCATTTTGTATGCCTTTTACAGCCCCATAAGCGATTTACCCCAAAACAACAATAGCAAAACGCGAATAAGTTTTAAAACGCAATAAATACGTAATCTATGATTATTACGAAACATTCACTAACGCCAAATAAGAGACCAAAAGGGTCAAAATTATCCCAGGGCTATACAAGCCTTCAAAAGCAAGAACCCTTTACAAAATTCAGTAGAACATACCCCTTCTCTTTGTTCAGAAGGTTGTAATTTCAATTACTTGTAAAATTCATATAATAATACGGTTTTAGTTATAAAAGGTAGTGTTGAAGAAAAGGTTTTTGGGATCAAGAGTGGATTATACTGAAGGGTGGAGGCCTAGGCTTAACATATTTTACGTTTATGCTGCTTTAATTACCTTTTGTGCAATTGGAGTTGATTATTATTATAGAGGTACAGTAGTAGCGCGGAGTCTGGAATTGTGCCCGGTACATGGCAATAGGCTCACCCCCTATTACATGGGACTAATAACATAAATAGTGAAAAAGTGGGTGTTACATTGTGCAGTGGCATAATGTGCACCTCTGCTACCATTGTGCGGATAAAAAGCGTGATGTTATGTTATTATTGTACTTCTTTGTGACTGCCTCGTTGGCCGAGTGGTCACAAGTGCGACTGCCGGGCAAGGGGTCTCGGGTTCGATTCCCGGGTCGGGCAAAGTATCACTGGGTTTTTAAAAATCTCAATAGTAGCCCGGAGTCTGGAAATGTGTATATAGCAAGAGGCTCACCCCCTATTACATAGGACTCATAACATAAATAGTAAAAAGTGGGCGTTACATTGTACAGTGGCTTTAAGTGCCGTAATGTGCACCTCTGCCTACACTTTCGGGTCTAAAAATACGTGAAGTTATGTTATGTTCTTTGTGACTTATGAGTATGGTGTTACTGACAACTGGGAAATAAAAGATTTTTTTAAGCGTTGCCCCCACACTATGATTAGTCCCTGTCTTTACAAACGTACAATTTCACATACACATGATATCTAGACCCGAAACAACAATTTGTTGATCACACGACATTTCCGATACGACCTTCAAAGCTTCAAGAAAGGAGCGTATTCCTTTTTAAAAGGCGGGCAACATAACTATCACTCCTCTGATGTGCGTGTCCATGGGCGGGGCTAATCGCTTACCATTAGATCATACTTCTGCCCGTTTGCCTCCTTTACCATAAAAAACACCAAAAGTGATAGAACTGAATACACAAATGTCACAAGCTAGGACTCTCGGAATCGAATCTCCGACACTGAACTTACCATACTATTAATGATCGTTTTAACTGAACTGTCTATTTCAAACTGCTGCACGCTCACTTATTGAACGTATTTAAGACAAAGAAATCCATCTCGTTAGGTCAATTTCAATATTTTAGATTCGATCCCTGGATTAGGCAAAGTATTATAAGATTTATCAAATTACGGAATTCTCAGTAGCAGCATGGGGTCGGAAATTCTGTCCAATGATTGGTAAAAAGGTTGGCCCTTTTAACAATGGCGAAATATTTCTTTGAAGAGTTTTATATCTAATTACACTTAATTCTCCAAAGTAATACTGTGCAAATATTAAATGCACCTACATTTTATCAGTTGTGTTTCGAGTCCTCTTCTTTGTAGGGCGTAAGCCCAGATCAAACATGAGGCCCTGAACAAACTCAATACCAGCCACCACTTCCCCCATGTCCCATCTCTAAATCCCCAATACTCAAATCTCTAAGCCTCAAAAGGTCAGTGTTGCGGAATCCATGGGTGGTGAGATTGCTTACCATCAAGTGATTCATCTACTCTATTGAAAAATGATACTACTATTGAAATTTTGTAAATAATGATCTATAATCGAATTTGACACTAAAAGAGAAAGGAGATCTGATAATCAATTCCAATTCTTCTGTAATTCCAGGCAGGCGTCAGAAGAAGAAAGTGATGCAAGTGATAATCCCTCTTTTATTCGGCATGAAATCAGCAGGGATGGCAATGTTTGCCATGGCAATAGTAACCGTGTTGACCTTGAAGGCATTCTTAGCGAGCAAAGTGGCACTCCTAGTCACAGTTGGCATGGCAGTCAAGAAGTTGTATGAGACTTATGGAAGTGGGTAAGTGGAGAAGAATTTGATTTCTTTGTTTTACATGTTTTTTTTTTTTTTTGTTGCTGGTGAGGTTTTGTGTGCCAAGAAGATGAAGTGAGCCTCAATTATCACATTTTGTCTTGGCACATAAAACAAGGAGTGTTTTTCAATCAGTTCTTGATTTTCGTTACGTCTTTCCATATTTAAATAATTCTAATTATACCTAAGCTTTAGATCAAAGCGATAAATTTACCATGCTTACACAAAATTTATTAAAGAGACGACTCCTAAAAGATATCCAAATTTCAATTTAAAATGACCCCAATATTTACTTTGACGACTTATTTTTGGGACGACTTAATATCCAATTTTCCTCTTCTGTCCCGAAATGCGGACATTGATTGGAATTACTCCACATTCCCATGGATTTAATGGAACTTGTCACAGGACACCTTTTTCACGGTCTGTCACGTAATCCCCAATAAGGATGGAAAGGGACAAACAATTAAATAAAGACTTTTTCAGTTACAAAACGATTTGTACCATCACAATTCTCATAAACGTTGATGGCTTAAATGGTTTTTCGAAATCCATTACTGGCAATTCCAAATAAAAATAAAAGTAAATGGCAATATAGAATATTGTGACTAGAGTGTGTGAAAAACGGGTCTCCAATTTAATGGGATTCGTGAATCAAGTAGTCAAAAACATACGTGTGGCTTTAAAAACCTTAGCATATATACTGTTGAAACCTTCTCATAATCTGCCCGTATTAGTTAATAAGTTACAGCTGTTCTCTAAATCTAAAACTGATTTTGATTACAATTAAAATAAATATTAATTTGAGAAACTTCTTTTCCACAAAGGCGACTGGTAGATTTTGATGCCTGCCGACGCTCTGATCATTGTATCGTAAGGTATATATTAACTCTTATCCCAATAAAAATACAGTATTACAATAAATTTCTCATAAATCATTCCACCATAGAAACAGTAATTTTAATCAACACAAATCGATTGTCCCTGTCAAATACTATTATGACGTCATTTTCCCATCCATTTCCCAAACTGTCACCTCCAATAGATTACAAATTTTCTTTGAATTGAAGTTTCATGGAAATTAATCTCCTCTGTTCATTGTCTCGTTCCATGGTTGGTCATAAATCATTGTGCTTGCTTGAATTGATATTTTTTCTCTTTTATTCTTGCCATTGACATACCTAGTATGGTCGCCTTAATTTTTAATTCATACACATGGAGATTAAGGCGTAGATAATATTGAATTCTTAAAGATACTCGGGGTGTCCCTAGTGTATTATATACCATCAGACGATTTATAAAATCTATTGTCATGAGTATATAGATCTCATTTGAGTGTAACCATTTTAAAATTGACATATTTCTATAAAATAATTCAGCGTTTTTAATTAAAAAGTTTTGACATTGTAACATAATTTAGTGACTATAATATCAGTATTAAGACGTAAATAAATTTGTCAAGAACGAATTTGATAAATACTCTGCATACCTTGCCTACTATTGAAATGAGAATATTTATATCACTCAAAGAATTTGAAGGCTATCAAAATTAATTTTCTCGGCAAACGAATATCTTGATAAATATTTTCATTCCAATGTTTTAAATGTACTTACGGCCATTTCCAATTTTTTATCTACAAGTAGACATTAAAGCTGAAACGTATAAGATATTTTATGCAAAACTTATGGTAGAAAGAGGATAAATATTATAAAAATATAAGGCAAAATTAAACAAGGAGAATATTCATTAACTGCCATACATTTTGTGTCAGTTCGATTTTAGTTACGTATAGATGGCCAGGGCATAATAATGTCTTAAGTCTAGATAAGCTTTTTGTATTAACCAGCTTGTCAATAGGCCATAAATACATTACATGAGCCATTGTTGATGATATACTTCAGTAATACCAGATTAATTCAAGAAAATAACACATTTATCTTGATTTTACTCCATCAAACATATTTCTCTAGAGTGATTCATCTACCGATAGAAATGTAATTGGAAATGGTCGTTAATAATTTAATTATGTATCATGATGTTAATACGACCAACTAAGCATGACTGACTGCTGACTGACTTGTACACGATGAATTATTCTTGAAATGAGTTCCGTTATATCCAGCATCATTACTTAGGAATGAGATGAGATGCGTGCTGCTATTTGCCTCGTTGTGAATGTAGTTGCTTAATAAGGCTCTTTGCTTTTTATGCTTCGATTTCTGGATTAATATAGGAGTTTAGTGAGAGTACAAACTTTGGACAATACCTACTTTAAACTGTAGTACCTATCTAAAATACACTATAACGGAGCCACTAGTGTTTTCCTTTTCTCGATCTCTCAAAACTTTGAAAAAAAAAATATTTATTTTACAATAAAAGGTTATTATTTTAAAGGTAACTAAATTGTCATTTATGCGACATACGTTTCCAATTCGTACAATACTTGTATCATGTATCAAAAATATTTATATCAAGAAAAGAAAAAGAAAAAAATGTGTAATATCCTATATTCGGCAGGCGTCTTTGTTACAGAGGTCTGGATTAAGACCAAATTTAAAAAGACTTAAGAAATATATTAGGGTTTTCTTACTTCTTTGGAGGCACATTAACCTGCATGATAGTAATAGTTTTTATAATAATAATATGATTATAATCACTTCATTGGTTTTTGTACATAAACTTTTACGTATAAATAATATTATCAATATTATTAACTCGTCGAGTACCGGTTTTGTAGACACAATTATAGAACAATAGGTTGCGGTCACCGGTGACCGCTTGGTGTTTGACAGTTTAAAGCAATTTATTAGATACTAGCTGTTACCCGCGACTTCGTCCGCGTGAAATAGCGACTTCTGTATAAATTGGGTTTTTAAATTAGTCTTTGTCAAGGTATATTCTACGGCTGTACAACTGGAACAAATATCATCACAATCGATTCAGTACCTAGGTTATATTTATTGAGAAATGAATTTATTTTCGTGGTTTCTAAAATAAACAATCCCATAGAGGTTTTACCCGTACAGTGCCCGTCTCGTGAGGTTTCACTATTCTATGTTTGCAAATCAATGTTGTATCGCATTTCAATCAAATAGATATAGTGATTTTAACAGCACAGTTCCCGGTTTCGTGGGTTTTTCGGGTTAAAAACTTTTAGATGTCCTTTCCCGGGTCTCAAACTATCGCTGTACCGAATTTCACCAAATAGGTTCAATGGTTTAAAAGGTAAGAGCCCCTCTTTATTTCAACGTCCTTAGTCCTGGTTTTTTAGCGCATAGTTTCCGTCATTTTGGGATTTCCTCTCTCCTATAATGTGACCTGATATGTACCGGTACGACATGCGTTACTATCGCAAACATTTAAATGAAAAAATAGGTATTCTGATATTAGGTTAGTTACATATGATACATGGACTTTAATGTTGATATTAATGTCCTCTATAAGACTTAATACACCCCTTTGGCTCTATTGTCCATAATTTCCACAGCGTAATCAATACCAATAATATAAGGAGTTTTTTTGGTGGTTTTTTACACATCGGGTTGTCATTACCTAAAGGAGATTTTTTTTGAGGTCGGAAAATCATCCAATCACTTCTCCCGCCTTGGGTTAGGTGAGAGGGAGTGACAGATTCTTACTGACTAAAATCCACTCCGTTCCTACTCCTGCTCGTCGAGCCGGAGCCCCGTCAACTCGTTAGGCCTCCCACGGCACCGTATC